TCGAAACGCCAAATCGAAATTTTTGTCGTCTACAAAGCAGGCTTTGCACCTGTTGGCTGTCCAGGTACGGGCGCACCACCGGGAGCCATGAACTGTCAAAGTTAGTAAGATGATGTTGCAAAGCGCTTATCGTAAAATGGCTTCACGTACCTCGTTTTGCGCCCTCTGTGCCTGCAACTCAGCCCTCTCCTGCTCAACAATCATCTGCTCCTCGCTGTACGCCAATGCCCATGGCACACCGAGCAGCAGCGCACTTGTGCTCACTACCCATAGAGTCTTGCCGCCCATGTTCAGACCGCTCTTGAACCATGAAGTGATTGTGTTGGCTTTTGAGGAGACGGATCGGCGTGTGCTGGCGGGGATCATGTCTTGTAGAGCGATGATGCGGTCGTAGAGGGTCTCGTCTGGTGTTACGGAGTGGATGGAGGATGTGTCTGACTCTGCAGTGGTACGTTTAGTATTTGTATATCATTCCTATGCTCTCTTCTATGCGCCAGGCGCATCTAAGGAGCGGTTTGCGGCGTCATACCAGAGTCGGTGTCCCACTCATCGTCGTCATGCGGGCCTTCCTGCTCGCGCACAAACTCCTCATCCATGACCTCTTCGAGCTTGACCATTTTGGCGGTTGTTTGGGTGTGCGATTAGTGTGGTTAGGGTATAAGGCGTTAGCGACAGATGTAAGTCGGAATGGGTTGGTGGTGTTGGGCCTTGAGCTGCTGGTGACGATGATTGCCCTAATATCAAAAAGTTAGCACAATCTGTGATGACATAAGGGCCACTAGCGCCGCCGCACGTGCTTTGGGCAGGCCTTGGAACATTACATCTGCAACTGCCCTCAACACGCCCAAACTTCTTTCACGTATTCTCCGATCTTCCTCGTTTCATTCAACATCGAAAATCTGGTCACTGTGTTCATTTGATGTATACAACTCGAGCGACAGGCATGACGAGGCTGAGGGCTTGAGAGCACCAACGCTACATTACCACAGGCACATCGCCGCTGGCTGTGGAATGATCAACCGTGTTTTGATAACCTCAAATCATGACGTTACCTTCCCACAATAAGCGTTTAAAATCGTCTTCAAATCGGTGAACAAAGCACAGGTACTGGCTACCGAGGACGCCTGTTGACCCTGGACCATGGATCCACGTAGATATTACCCCTCCGAGGGTCTTTTATTACCTATCGACTGACGTCCTACCAAAATTCTGTCGGAGATTCAAAGCTACGTGTCTTTCCGTCGTCGTTGTCGCTCACGACAACGAAATCAGCATCTACAATGCCCACGCCAGACGCCCATCGCATGACAGCAAGGACGCCTACCATGCACGTCTCCTTATCCAGATTCTTGACAGAGTACAAGAACAACTGCTGGCCCCCAACAATGAAGCGCAGAAAGAAGGCCAATCAGCTCGCAGAGTCCATCGAGATTCGGAACGCCAGTACCTCTCACATCTACCGCTTGCCCCCTGAACTCGTACTCGATATTGCAGAACGGATGCAACCTAGCGACAAGTATTGCCTGCGGCTCGCGTGTCGCCGATACGCCTTGCTCTTGCACGACGTGCAAAATGTTGACCTAGAGGTACACGAACGGGAGGTGTTGAAGGAAAGACTTGCGAGGGACGTTGAAAACGAGCGATACTTCAAGCTGGCCGAGGAAGAAAGACAAGCCGAGCTCCTCTGCTCGGCCTGTCACGCAACTCATCCGAAGCGGATGTTCACTGCAGCGGAAATGCTGCGATCCCCTCACATACGAAGATGCCATGGTGCAAATCTTGCTTTTCGTATCTGTTCTCACTATTATCTCACGTACGACCAGCTGAAATCACGCATGTCGGATTGGAGATTTGAACAAAGTTGGTATTGTTGCACTCGATTACAGAATCTTGCAGACGACACCTGGAGGGTTAGTGGTCACCCATCATGGACTATTATTGCCGGCACTGGCGACATGAGCATAATCGATATCCAACAGCACTTGAGGCAACTAGCTCAGCCCCTGTGTCCACATCTCCGCACGGATGGCATCTATGTCCAGCAAAGTCTACAGAAAAAGGACCGGCGACTTCAACAGATTCCGTACAAGGAGTCGAGACTCCCTGCGCACACGGTGTACACCAGTTTCATAAGATGCTTCGTAGAGAACTGCGAAACTACCCTTATGGTTTGTTCTCATGAGAGAATTATCTCGACATAGTAAGTCTCTCTGTGCGAACTGCATGTGAGGCCTACGCTGATTTCGTACATCTACGTTTAGTCTTACCCGTAACCTTGGCAGTCTATCTGTCCCATCCGATCCCCGGTGGTGCGCTCAACTCGAAGACCGAACAATCTAGACGAAGCACTGTAACCTAAGAAATTGCGGCTTTCAAGGTTGATGTCAATAAAAGGGCGCTACATGGTCATGGAATCGAGGATGAACCAGACGCGGCACGCGCCCCACATCTGTAGGGTTACACAAAACCAAGTGTGAGGTGACGCCAAGAGTCTCACGAAATACGATCACACCTGGCGACAACGAACTTCGACCTTCACCGGAGGTTCACCCTGTTGTACATAGCAGCACCAAAGCCATCGCCTGCTCGCTGCCCTGTCGATTCCCCGGGCTTGTTGGTCACCATCAATCTACTTTCAATACTCTGTAAACCCTCTGCGCTTCACAGACAGCTCATCGTCGGCCCGCTTGCGGTCATAAGCCGGCGACAGATTGCTAAACAGCGGCTCATCGCGCGAACAACCACAATTAGAACCTACTGATAGTCTCAACAAAAGTTTGCTTCTTTGCGGCGCACCGTCATGATTCCCAATCCTCTCATAGTACTGTCAAATCTGCTGAAGGATGGCATCAATCCCGGGGACGATCCCGATGGCTATGGTGAAGGGCTAACGATAAGCGAGCAATCGTCTGCAGGTCCGAGAGCGCCACAGGCCGCTTCACACCGGAGTAGATCCGAGATCGACCAATCACCTATATAAACAGCTATCTAACCACTTAGTCCTCGCGAGTAACACCCTAGTCTAGCATCAACAATGGGTAACAAACCCTCCGTTCCTCAGCCAGGCACAAAGTTCCAAGTAATCGGCGCTGGCCTCTCACGCACCGGAACTTCATCCTTCAGCGAAGCATTGCGCATCTTACTCAATGGGCCTGTCTACCACGGTGGTACGCAGGCTACTCTGGGCGCCGAGAAAGAGATCAAACCGTTGATCAGGATACTTGATCACTCACCACCGAAGTCGCCCTCAGAGAAACAGCTTGTCCACGATCTACTGAAGGAGCGCTTGGACGGCTATGCGGCAGCCAACGACATGCCATTCAACGGGCTGGTAGAAGAGCTAGTCGAAGTTTATCCAGATGCGCTGGTCATATGCACGACTCGGGATCCAGATGCGTGGGTGAAGAGCATAGGAACCATAACAAACGCAACGACAAAGTGGTTTCTACGTTTTGTACTCTTTCCTCTCCCAGGAATGCGCCACTTTGTCGACTTTACCAACGGCCTAGGGAAGCAGTGGGTCGAGTTGTATGGAAAGCATGACGGGGTCTCCACCCGAGACTATGAGGCGCACATCGCTTACTTGAAGAGGGTTGTGCCTGAGGAAAGACTGTTCTTTTTCGATGTCAGAGAGGGTTGGGAGCCGTTGTGTAAGGCGCTGGGGAAGGACGTCCCGAAGGATATTCCCTTCCCGAGAATCAACGACGGAGAAGCCATCGACAGATTAGCCAAGAAGATGATCAACAAGGGGTTGATGAGATGGCTAACTATTTCTGCTGTGGTGGGAGCAGCGATTGTTCCTTACTACTTGTTGAAGCGGTAGAAAGACTCGGTGTTCTGACGCTCTTGTCATTTTCACAGCAAGTCTTTGGCCTATCGTCCACGTAGCAGGGTTGGCATGGTGAGCAGGAATTTCGACTATGCTAGACCCGAAGATCTTTCTAAATCTCATACAGGAAAGCTATCGTCCTTGTTGAAGGCTGAATGGTGCTGAGAGAGGGTCTGTCCGGGGCGGATCTTCGTATAAACGCGCTGCGCGTCCGCCTGTAGGTTTACTGCGGATTGGTCTCCGTCAAGATTAGCCTACCTGCCACACGCGCAAATGATGCAATCTTCCTCCTACACCGGTGTACTAGTGCGCGCTGGGGCTTCGTGTATGGATGACTCGGCATACATACTAACTTGTAGCACGGGCGGCCTTGATTGCATGCGCGTCTGTGTCATGGATTGGTCTTCGGGAGATCTCCAACAGGGATGGCATTCCCGTCGCATTCATCCTGTCACCAACTCAGGTGAAAATACCACGATGGCGCAATAACAATCCGTTGCAGGGCCATTCAGCATGCGTCACTCAAAGTTCCGAAACGAATTATTGTGGCACCTACCTAGGTAGTGATGCAACTCTACCGAAAGCGTCAAAACGCCACGAGATGTTAGCTGCTCTTGGCGCGTCGGGTATTTTATGATATCAGATCGGCAGAATTCCTTGTGGCGCTCCCCTTCATCACACTCCACTGCGCCTCCAGGATTTGCTATGCTGCCTCTCCAACCTCCCGATATCAACCTCATACTCCCCACATATTGATCCACATCACAGTATCGGAATGTTTGGCGGTCATTCCTGCCGATGTCACAGATGACAACAACAGACGAAGAAGAACACTGACGCAACGCTGATGATGTATTCAAGATCTATTCGCCTTCGGGTACAGTGACCCTTAGCTGCTGATATGCTTCTATCTTGATTGGCTCGCCCGAAAGCTACACCTCCTGGTAGCATTCCATCATACACTACGGACTACCTAACGGCAAACTCAAACCTCTGGCAACCAAACAATTTGCTCCAGCACGGTCCGAAAGGGTAATGTAGCTATGTACCTACACAAACATATAAGGCTCTCGCTTGACCGTCCGTAGCACCAAGTAAACGACAAACAAGTCGTAGCGAACAGTTCATCCATCCTCAAGTTCAAGTCAAAGCTATACATCAAGATATCAAGATGCTAGCCAAGCGCATTCTCCCAGTCGCTTTGCTTTCCATCCTCGCAGCGTCTTCTCCGGTTGCAGTCGAACGAGACACCAAGGACTCTGCCCCTCTCCTGACTGCCATTTCAAACGACCCAGACCTTTCCGTCTTCTACAGCCTCATCAAGAGCACGGGTGGTAGCAGCGGCATTCCTGGTCCGCAATTTGAAGAGCGCTTCAACAATCTCACTGATGGACGCAAGTACACAGCATTTGCACCCGTCGACTCGGTAAGCAATGATACCGAATGCTGCCTTGCCTTCTGGATTGCTGACCTGTACAGGCTTTCAAGAATCTACCCCAAGAACTAAGCACAGCTTTGACGGCACCAGCATCATATTCGCTACTCGAGTTCATCCTGCGAAGCCACATTGCACAAGGATCCATTACAACAGAAGATGTCAAGACTTCGGGTAAATCTGTCACAGCCATCGAAGGCACACCTCTTTCGTTCAGCTCGGCGGGAGAGACCGTCTCAGTCAACAAGCAAGCCAACCTAGTTTCCGAGTCGAGAACCGAGGTCGGAAACGGAGCCATCTTCAAAATCACATCAGTCCTCGATTCCTTCGCTGGACTCTACGGGGCTGACAGTCTCAACAACACTACATCTACCGCATACCCAGCGTCTCAGAACGAAGGCTCCATTGCATCAGCCCTAGCTTCCCAGAAAGACCTATCGACATACGTCGAGCTCTTGAACGCGACATCTCCAGATTTCGTCTACCTCCTCGACGCATCTCTCGGCCAAGGCAAGAACCTCTCCATCTTCGCGCCGAGCAACGCCGCACTCGCGGCTCTCGGACAAAGCGCAAAGGCTCTTCAGCCCAGCAACAACGCACTGTCTTCCTACCTGCTCAAGTACCCATTCATCGACACGACATCGACCGGCCAGGAGAAGTCCATCGTCGGATTCCCCGCGACCGTCCGAAGGGACAGCAAGGGCGCTATCACGAGCGTCAACAACGCTGCTGTGAAGAGCGAAGCTTACTGCGTCCCTGGCGCATGCATTTACACCGTCGACAAGTGGTTGGACCCCCTCTTCGGTGCTCTCAGCTCCGGAAACTCTTCGTCGGCGTCATCTTCAGGAGGGCCGGGCCTTGTTGAACACAGCGGTAGCAGCTCTTTCACGCATTGCTGCTAGTCGTTTTATGCTATTATGATGTATGAATAGAGAACGCTTTGGGATTATTTCCTTTCTCAACGGATATGGGCAGTTTTGTGGAGATTCAACTCTCTGCGTTTCTATCTATATGGATTGTAGTATGTAAGCCTTTTTAGGTATACAGAAATCGACATCTTTCATGTGTGTCATCATACCTGTATCAATTGTAACGTCGCTTCCCCCCACCCTTTCAGCATGTAAGCCATCCTTGCTCTTCGGGCCATACCGATCGGAACGCTACCTCCCGAGTACGAGGTCTGCAGAGTTTGGCGAGCAACACGGACGTCCGTTCATCTCGACGGGAGTAAACTGCCGTCGTTTGTGTATTGCCCCGGCTTCATCGACGTCACGATACTTGCTCGGTCCAATTCATCGGTTGAAACTACCCTGAATATAACTGCAACTGATCCCAGACACGTGAATCTGGCACTTAGCAGCCGGACAACGAACAAATCGCCGAAGTCCACTAGAAGGCTTTTGCCTTCCTACAAGAGGACGAGAAGGGGGATCATATCATCGCTTCCTTCGAGATACCCAGTGGTCCCTTAGTAGTTCTGATATTTCGCACACTTCACTTAATCTTCTCACGACCTGCTCCAGACCTATCGTGCAGCTACATGATAGCCCCCAGTCTTCTCGGATCATAGTTTAACTCTCAGCATGTATCTGTACGAGACACGCGGAATTATACTTTCGTACATAGCAGCATTGACGCGTGGCACAATTTTAAAATCGTACATCGTCGGCACCAAATAGATTATACCAAGACCGAACACACAAAAGCAATCAGGACCTGAACACAAAGATGCATGTTCGCAGTTAAAAGATCAACGTCTGAAACGCCGAACAAAGTCGATTGCACAGTTACTATCAAGTGTATGGGTTATACACTATGTATGCGAGCCTAACAAAAAAGACAAATGCTGCAAAAAAAGAAAAGGCTCGTAAGCCAGATAAAACCATACATCAAGCATATCCATGCCGTGTAAATATCCGTATAAAACGCCAGTGAGATGTGAATGTTGCCACCTCGTTCAATCCCAAACGCCAATCCCATCGCATGGGGAAGTCATAGATACAAACCCTTAGTCATCCTTGACACTCGCACTAGCATATCCATCATCTACGTCGGCGTCATCCTTCTTCTTGCTCTCGGCCAGTCCAACTAGCATCTTGCTAGCGTCGAGACAACTGCTTATGATCCTGCTCCGAACCTTGTTGGTCAGCCCACTTCTCCTGCCTGTTTCGTGACCGATCCACATGCGAAGGGAACTTGCAGTCCTCTCTAGACCACAGCTAGTTTCCTTCTTCAGCGCATCGTCTGCCATGAACTGCGTAAGAACCTTGTGAGCGGCAACGAAGCTGAGCAGCGTGGTTGTGCATTCGGGAAGGTAGGTGTTGTTGATGACGAAGATGGCACGGCGGCGGGCCTTGGGGTTCGAGGAAGCGGCCAGCGAGAGGCATTTGGCCAAGGTGAGACCTTTCCGCACATCGACTGCAACGAAGCCGTTACCGACGACATTGATGAAGCCGGCATCGGCAGGCTTGGGTGACGATGGAAGGGCTTCGAGTGCTGCTGCGATGCGAGTGTTTCGGTCTTCGTCGAGTACAACAGCTTGAGCAACTAGCGCACGTAGCTGAGCCTGTGAGTTCGGTGGGGCAGCGCGGAGAGCGAGTGCAAGATCAGAGACGATATTGTCCTTGGATGAGCTGTTCTTTGCACCAAGTGTGGTTGCGAGTCCCTTGTTCAGAACAAGGCTAGAGTACCAGGCCGCAAGCGCATCCAATGGAGAGCAGATGGCAAAGTCCTCGACAACAGCGTCCATGGAGGTGTCTACAGTTGTCTGTTCTGCGCTTGGCCTGTTCCAAGCCAGGTTGTATGCGCGCTGCACAACTGCAGGGACAAGTACCTCATCGCATTCCCTCTCGATGAGTGCTGCCAGATGCTCTGGCAATGGCACAGCTCCATTGTTCTGCTTCGACGTGTTGATGGCGATGCGGTGCTCGCTCCGTGCCGTGTTCCAGTAGCTTCGGGCCAGTTTTGCACTCAGCTCGTTGAGCATCCACCACGAGCCATGACCTGCGTTTCCAAGTTCCCAAAGTACAATCCGAATATGCATGGCCTTGAGCATGAGTCTCGCGGGCGTATCGGGCAAGGTACCGGAAGCAATCAATGTAAGCACCAGACGGCTCGTGCTGATCTCAGCGTCACCGCCCGTAAGCTGGGCATCCAGTGCGATCTCCCAAGCTTTGACACGAGCGGCTTCTTGTTCCTTGGTAATACCGGTGAGATAGGCGTATCCTTCCCATCCGATGAGCCTTCGCATGCTGAGCTTGAGGGTCTTGAGGCCCAGAGCAGCGAGCTCGAGGATGAAGTTGTGTTGAGGTACCCAGACTGTTTGGATTGCAGTGAGCCATGCCTTTCGACGTACTTCGACTGGAGAAGCCAATGACGGTGCGGGTGTCAACAGAACTGCGGGCGGCGACTTCCTCTTCGGTTTCGATTTGAAGTCGAGCAGCGGCGCAACGAGGTAGAAGAAGGCGGCGAATACCAACAGAAGCTTGGCCAGAGGAACCTGAGCTGTGGAGACACCCAGGGAGACGCGAGGAGCAAGAATGCCGACAAGATTGACGGGCAGGGCGAATAGACCGCGTCCAGCTGGCTCTTCTTGTGACTGCTCGCGCTCTGCAAGTCCTTCCAGTATCATGAGACCAGCAAGAGATCCAACCATGAGCTTGCCCATCATAGCACCGTTGCGTCGTCCATTCACCATAGGCGCGCCCACTGCTGGGCGACCGCCATAGCCTGGAGGGTATGCATGTGCATAGTGCTGTTGCGGCGGGATGCCGCGCTGGAGGGCGCTGATGTTCTCTGGGACGGGTATCATTCCTTGTGGTGGTCCTGACATGGGCATACTGTGTGTCGGCGTGAATGGATCTTTGTGGAACCGTGAGCCATCTGGTGTGCTGACAGTGCCGTGCAGTGTTATTGGACCCGAAATGGCCATCTTTTCGTAGCTCTCGACCCTGCCTTTCATAGTGTTGAGCTCATCTTGTAGGCGTTTGTTGCGCTTCTCAAGATGCCGGATGTACTCGGTAGCTTTCGAAAGGACGGTCGCTTTGTTGAGCTTGTGTGCGGGCGTGAGACCTTCAAGGTCCTCAGGGTCGTCGTCTTCTTCCGTACCGTTCGGCCGCGACATGACGCGAAGACTTGGGACACCTGCAATGTCAATCAGCTAGTGTCAATTGCGCATAGAGAATGGACTTACTATCGCGAAGAGCAGCGATCTTGTCGTTGAGGTTCGTCCGATAGCGCTTCTCAATCATGTTGTGGGCGGTCTTCTTGGGTGGGCCTCCCTTCTTGCTCGACGGGGCATCGTCGTCGAGCTCCTCCGAGTCGGCCAATGACTTTCTCTTGCGTGCATTGTTCGTCGCAGGCTCTGGTGACGAATGCGACGAGGTCGAGCTGGCGCGTCCGTTGGTCAGCGAGGTGGGACTATGGTGGAGGCTGGGCGTGGAGGCGGGCGGTGCGACAAAGCCAGTTTGGTCGAACTGCGTGGGGGAGAAGAGGGTGTTTTCAGCCAGCTGCTGCTGTTGCTGCTGCCATTGCTGGGACGTGTAGTAGGCGTGCTGCTGCTGCATCTCAGCCGTCAGTGGAGAGCTCAGGTCAGCGCTGTTGAAGTCAAAGGCCGGCGGCATGTCAGCGCCCTGGCCAAAGGTGAAGGGCACGCCATGCGATTGCGCGAACATGGGGGCGGTAGTCGGCACGGTGTTGGACTGCAGCGATTGGGATTGTTGGTGAGGAAGGAGATGGGGCGGAGAAGTTTGCTGATCCGGGCTGAGATATGCGGCAGGCCCCTGCGGATTCGCGGGCTTGGGGTCGACGTTCTGGGAGTTCTGAGACGCTTGGGCGGGATCGTACTGCATCCATTCGTTCCAGTTGGTCATGTCGTCAGCGGGCGCGGTGAGGGGCATGTCGTCGCCGGCGGTGGTGAGCCACGGTCCGCGCATGTTGGCGAAGGGGAAGTCGCTGGACAGCATGGGATCCTCCATCTGGGGCGTGGGTCGCTTGGCCTCGGGAGCCGACGGGTGGATGGGCGGGGGACTTGGAGGCAGGCGGAAGTCGTCAAACACACAGTAGGGGCCGACCTGGATGGTGCAAGGCCATGTTAGCAGAGACTCGAGACATGCAAAAGTGCAAAAGCATTGCGTCACGCACGGCGATTCGCTCCAGCTCCAGCCCATCGTCGGGGCTGCCATACGGGTCAGAAGCCATTAGGACGGCGTCGGGCTGCTAGCTGCGACAGGAGCGACGGCGACGACAGCGGCGACAGACGGCGAACAAGAGGGACAGTATAGTGTATACAGAGTACGGGTCTGGTAGAGAAAGAAAGGGCTCCGCCTTAGGCTTACCAGCTACTACATGCACATGGAAATCATGCCACTCCTTCGCGGGCTCACGACGCGACTGCGGGCGGCAGATCGGACGGGCTGCCTCTGCCTCAGTGTGCGCCGGGATTTGCTGCACTACCGTGAAAGCGAATGGCCTGCAGGAAGCGTGCGACGGGGCCGGGGCTGTGATTGTTTGCGCGTGTCGATGGGTGTTGGGGTGGTTCGACAAGTCGTATGATCTTGCTCGAGTCGACGGGGGCTAGCCGCAAGCCTCACCGAACAGGCAAGGTCTGGAGATCGCGGTACTGTCTTCCGTGCAACCACGCGCTGCTTGGGTCGTGTCGCGTCGCTCGCCGATTATCGTGTGCGCCAGAAGGGGAGTCGGAATGATCGCGAAAAGTACTTTTGTGTGAGTGAGGTTTGCAGCTCAATCTCCATCGTGGACCGTCGTGAGGCGCGTTGGGTTGCGCAACCACGAACCCCTGTCCCAGCCGCATGACTCCTGCTGCACCTCATCTAAGTTTCCGCCCTCGCTAATTGCCTCTTGCATCTCAGCTGTCGTCGGAAGAATCTGGTGCCGTCAAAGA